GGTACATTATTTGTTTATTTGTTCAATTTTTGCATTAACAAATTATAGGGTAGTTTAAAAAAATTGATATTTTTTTTTCAATGTTTAACAATAAAGCATTGGAAACTGGTCCAAATGATGATCAGATGATCGAAAATGGCGGCAGAGGTGCTTCCATGATGTGCCTTCAAGCACTTGGTATGTATTTTAAAGTTTTAATAATTGATAATAAATCATTACTCTTTTGAAATACTAATTACTTTAATAAATACAAGGCGGTTCGCGACGTATACAGCCAAATAATCATAATGCAGCTCCACAAGTTGTAATACTTGCTGGAAATAATAAAACTGGTGCTTATGGGCTTGCTACTGCACGACATCTTGCAAATCATGGATGTTTTGTTATTGTGTGCGTCGTTGGTAAAGAAAAGGACTTACAAAAGGTAATAATAAATATATCAATAAAATGAAATGAGTAATTTTAAATATTGGATATTAAATCGTATTTTCTTTAGAATGTTACGTTCCAACAAAAGATTTTACGTCATACTGGCGGTAAAATTGTAAAAACAGTTAAAGGTACGTTTTAAGTAATGAATGAAACTTTTTATTATTTATTCTCACAACTTATTTAACTCACATTTTATGTTATTATTTCACAAGACCTTCCACAACAATTTACCAACCCCGTTGATCTCATCGTTGATGCCTTGCTTGGTTATCAATTTACTCTACGAGATATTGTGGATGTAAATGATAAACATTTAATATGCGATTTAATGGATTGGGCTAATACTAACAAAGCACCTGTGTTAAGTTTAGATATGCCTAGTGGTGTGAATGGAAGTTCAGGTGAGGCCAATTATTACTCAAAAATCAATGTTTTCTTTGATTTATATTTTGAGTCTAAAATGTTCATTTAATGAATCTTTAAAGGTAACCCTGTTAATTCTGCGCATTATATCCATCCAAAATGGACGCTATGCCTTGGAGCTCCCAAAAGTGGTTGTAAATCACGCACGGTAACTGGTGAGCTTTTCTTAGCAGATATAGGCATTCCAAGGGCTTGTTGGAAAAGGATCGGTGTAAAGGAATGGGGAATGCCCTGGGGTAGTGAATATTTAATTGGATTGGAATACTATGTAATGAAACACACCAAAGAAACGTGAGTTTCTCTCTATATTAATTATAATTATTTAATGTGTTTTCACTTATAATTACGATCCTGTAAACATTTTCCTAAACCGGTTTAAGATGTTCTTCATTTAATCCTTTTTTTTTTTGTATCCATTCTATTTCTCATCCAAGCGAAATAATTCGCTGTTTACAATTTTATTTTTAATTTCACCTTAATCATTATGTTAATTTATTTTCCTTTTGCTTTCCTGTAAATGCTTAATTTTATATATATATACAGTTCAATTTAGAAAGGTGGAAGAAATGAAGTAAATAAATTGAAAAAGGGATTAAGAATAAAGAAAAATTGAAGAAAGAATCATTAAACAACATCCTTTACGGTTTGATCATTAGCTTTTATTGCACCAATTTTTTTTTTTCCCACCATAAAAAAGAAAATTTCAATTCATACATAAAAGATTGCAACAATCAATGAAATTCAACAAGAAATAATCATAATCATGTTTAAGAAATATTTTTAAACAAGGAAATCAAAAAAAAATTCATATTTAATTAACTTTGAAATTAAAAATTTTGTTAATTTATTAAAACAAATTTATAAATACTCTGTATATCAAAAAATAAATAAACATATACAAAGTACTTCGTTTAAATATTAATAAAGATAATCTATTAATTTATATTTTAAGAAAAATTATTTAAATTATTCAAATTTGTTTAAATCCGCTAAGGTTTCAATAACGGCAGGTGTTTTAATTGTTTTTCCATTCAATCTCTCCAATCCTTCACCGGCATATGAGATCAAGGGTGAAATCTCAAAAATAAGCTGGTCCCCGTCACCGGGTACAACCTTACCACCAGCCTTTTCAACGAACTTAACATGTTGATTTATAATATCTTTTTTACTAGTATCCGGATCATCTACTCCAGTTCCTGGTGCATTTTTAAGAGGGGAAAATTCATCTTTTCTATCAACCTCTAAAACGGCCATACGTTCAGTGAAAGGAAAAACGTCAAAGACAAATAATTCGAGTTTCATTCCGGTTGGTTTTGAAGGCGAAAGGAATTCACCTGATGTATAATCAGTATGTTTAATTTT